GGACAGTGCGGGGGACAGTCCTGGAAAATAATCCGGGGGAATACTCCTGGAGGATAATCGGGGGGACAGTCCGGGGAGATAATCAAGGAGACAACCCGGGGGGACAGCCCGAAGGGCTAGTCCGGGTGAATAGTCTTGGAGGATAATCCGGGAGACAGTCCGAGGGAACAGTGCTGGGGGATAGTCCGGAGGCATAATTCAGGAGACAATTCGGTGGAAGAGTCCGGGAGGATAATCCGGGAGACAGTCCCGGGGGACAGTGCGGGGGAATATTGAGGGAGGATAATCCGGGAGTCAGTCCGAGGGGACAGTCCGGGGAGCAGCCGCGCTCGGTTGGCACCAGGACAATCCAGCGGGACAATCCGGGTGGATGCTCCAGGGACCAGCCACGCTCAGTGCTGCGCGGCAGGACCTGAGCTGAATTTATATTCATCTTTTTGTCTTTTTCCTTTAAAATCTTCCTGCTCGGGAAGGTTTTGCTGCCCCCCCCGAGGTCGGGTGGTTGTTTAGGAGGGGGTAGCTGAAAGAAATGGCTCAGCCTGCAAGTGTTTCTGTATCCTTCAGGCTCTCACCCTGCTTCACATGAGCAATGACAGATGCTCAAAGAGATGCTCATTAAGTTGTTTTCAGGATAGGATCCACCATGCTTCTGTCCCATCACGGACTGCTACTTGGTTTGTGGCCCAGTGTTGCTTTTGTGAGATGCAGTTCTGGGGCTTTTCTTCAGGTAGTGAAGAGTGGAGGGAAGAGAAAATCTATTAGAGGGAGGAAGGGCAGATTTGTGAACTGTTGCTTCAAAGAAAGGGAAATATTTCATGCGTTGCAATGTCCGAAGATGCTTTGTTGGAAGAGGACATTTGGGAGTACAAATCCATTAGGAAGCAAAAGCACCAGAGTAATTCAGAGAGCATCTCTGCACCTGTGCAGAGAGTAAGTGATGGTGAGAGCAGGCTGAAAAGAAAGAGGAACAGGAAAAAGAAATGCGTGGAAAAAGCTGATACACCTCAGAAAACGAAGCAGAGGTCACAGCCACATCAGGATATGGGTCAGTGTCCAGATGACAGCAGTGTGCATTCCCAGGGAAGTGTGAGCAGCCTGACAGAGCAGAGCTCACAGAATGCAAAGCCTGTTCATGATGGATACTGTCCCAGCTGCCAGATGCCTTTCTCTTTGCTGTTGGTCCAGACACCTCAATGGCATGTTGATGAATGCTTGGAGACTCCAGGATCCATTGAAAAAGGTATGGATAGAGTAAGAAAAAAGCCTTCAGAGAGAAGTTAGACGCATCCCACATAATGTTGCTGTAAAGCTTGTTTTTCACATTTGGCTCAGAATCTGAGATGGTAGTTGGTATGATTTTTTGGAATGTTATTACTGATCAGTACTATTTTTGTGTGAAACTTTTGGTGCATTGTGGAAATCTGACATGAAAATCTCAGATACTAAACTCGAAACTCTTGAGAGTAGTGATAGAGATTCATGGTTGTTTATCAAGCTCCAGTTTTAGTAGTTTACTGAAGAAACAGAAGATGCATATTTACCAGTTTAAAATTATGAAACCTGTTATTAAGTGTCAGAAAAAAACCTTCAGTTAAGAGGCTGTTCCTTTTGACATCGAATTTCTTTCTCCTCAGGTACAGATGTTGTTATCCTGTATCCATGTTGCTATGTGACTTGTCCAGTTGTCTATGGACATCTGGAAACTGAAATGTGCTATTTTACTGAAAATACTAGCTCCTGATCCAGTATGATTTGGAAATTTTATGCAGAATTAGACACAAACATTCCTGAATCATAACACAACACAGCTTTTTTTTGAGTTCTGTACAAGAGGAGTAAAACTGACACATCACAATTTCTAGTTTCATGGGCAAATAACTGAAGAGATCCAAGTATCCATTATAAGTCCTTAATACACCTCATAACTTTTGAAAAACAAAAAGCATACTGTCAGGAAAGTTGAGTAAAGGCTGCAGCCATTTTCCTTTGTATATATTTGTAACTTTCCTTGAAGTTTCTTTTTCGGAGCAATGAAGTGTGTGAGTCCCTTAATGCTGATTTTGGCAGTGGTTTTAATTTAAGGCAGGTGCGTTAGCAACTCACTTCCATCTCTTATTCCCATAATTAAGGGATGAAAAATCTTTCTGATTAATTTATGCATTCACCTTAAAATCCTCAAGAGTTAGGGTAGAAAATTCTCAACAAAAAAAGGTGTACAGAACAACCACAGATTTTTTTTTTCTGCCATATCAATGCTGAATATTTTTTTCACATAAGTAAATACATGAGGTTTTTTTCCTTCTTAAATTTAATCTGTAGCACAGCAGACACAGTTTGAAATGAAATTTCAGGTCGATTCAGGACTGGGGTTTGGTTTATTTTGTAACATGTCTGGTTTGCTTGCATATGATTTATATTTGAAACACACTGCCCTTGTCTGGTGCTACGGCTCTGAGCCTGTTGCTCACATGTAAAACAGTTCTAATCCAGAAGCCATGTGATGACATGAGCACAGCACTGAAACAGGGTTAACTGTTCTTGTTGTTAAACAGCTCAACCATGGTGCTGTATTAGCAGCTGTTTGGTTTCAGGTTGGAAGTATTCTCACTTCCCAGCTCAGAGCAGGAGGCCTTGGCAGCCTGAAAATGACCTTTTTTCATGCATTCTCTCCTCAATTATAAGAGAAAGCTTTAAATTGTGTGAAACATGTGGTTTGTATTTTAATAGTTATGCCAACTATATTTGCAAAGGTATTAACGTTGTGTCTGTGTGTATCTCTCCTCATAGAGTGTCCTGATGGTTTGCTGTGTACTTCCACCATTCCATCCCACTACAAGCGTTACAGCCACTTCCTACTTGCAGCAAACAGGGCAGGAGAGTATCTTGTAAACTCTTCAACACACACTTTGAAGATGACATGTTCTACTGCTGCAAAACCCAGCTGTTCCCCAAGTCATGTAGAGGAAATCTCACAGAATGAGGAACCATCTGGTGATATAAAACGTGCCACAAACGGTGACTGTGCATTGGTGGTAAAGAATTCACCACAACTGAAGTATCTAAATATAACCAGTGAAAGTACTTCCTTGCTTACAGGTGTTCAAAAACCTCAGCAGACATTTCAGCCTACACAGACCACAGATGAGAGTTGTGAATTTGAATTTTATGATTTTGCATCCTCTCAGGTAAGTGAAATGGGTGAATATCAGTATAGTCAGAAAGATACAGGTCAGCCAAGTCTGCTACAGTCAAAAGTGGACTTAAGTGACTGTGAAATTTCTTATTCTCCACTAAGCACTTTTGAGGAAAGTGAAGAGGAAACTGAGGAGGAGGAGAAGAAAGTAAAAGTATCACAAAATCTGCAGAGCTTGGAAGATAAAGACTCTAATTCTGTGGCATTTAAAACATTTGATGGACTTCTCTTACAGAAGAAACCTCAGCATGAGCATAGCAAAACAGGAAATTTTGTAATAAAAAAACCTCTCTGTGAAGAAGTAAGTACATTGAACCATCAGGATCATTGCATAAGAACTGTTGCTGAGAGTCATGTGAACAGCAAGTCCTGTAACTCAACATGTGTAGACAATCAGCTTCAGCAAGGGGTGGGAGCCACTGGATCCTCTTTTCCTTCTAATTGCAAGGAGGCTGAGCAGCTGGAATTGATTTCCTGTGCTGCCAAAGCAGGTAACACAGAGTCAGGAGGTGCTTTGGATTCTGCATCCCTGAGTGCTACCGAGACATCATTGCTGCTAGGCAGAGAAGATGCTGGCTCTCTTCTGTCACAGAAGAGTAATGTTTTGAGGGAGCCAAGCAAGGTTTTAACTCATACAGATAAAATGACTGCCAGTGCAATTGAAAAAGCAGCTTGCCAGGAGAGTTTGCAGACAGTAGTGGAGAAAAAAGGAACTCTTAATACATCTGCTGTGTGCTTTCCCAGCCCCATCTCTAAATCAGTGCCATCTCTTTCTTTAGCAAGTATGAATGCTAAACCCAGTCCTGCCAAAGAACTCAAACAAATGGACATTGGTGTTTTCTTTGGGTTAAAACCCAAAGCAAAAGAGGAAAGTAAAGGAGAGACGTGTTCGAGTGAGAGAAAACAGATACCAAGTTCAGTAACTCCCAATGGAAAGAGGCCCAGGCAGCAAAAAAGGAAAGCTGAAGGTTCTGTGGAAGATGTAGAAGCAGTTACAGAAAGTCCAAGTAAAAATGGAGCCACTGCAGATAAAAGTTCTGGTGGCCCACAAAGGTGGAGAAAAAAATTTAAAGAACTACCTCCTACAGGTGAAGGACCAAGAAAAAAACATTGCCCTTTCTACAAGAAAATACCAGGTGAGAGGTAACTGCTGTTTTTTGTGGAGGTTAATTAACTTTGGTAGAGTGTTGTGGTTTTTTCCTAATTTTGGGCTTCAGTCTTTTTCCCCTTGCTAACTAATTTCTTCAATTATTTTTAATGTATTACTTGTTAATAGACATGCCTAATTCCTGAATTTAATCCTTTACATTGCTTCAGTTGTGCCTGAAAATAGAGCTGTTGATAGCAATTATTTCCTTAACACTCAGTGAAAAGAATTGAGTTTAATTTTGCATTTGAAATTCAGTAGTATAAGAAATATAACTTAATACAACTGTACAAACAAAGGAAGAAAACTGAGCAGAAGAGTTTAGCTAAGGAAACAGCCAAGAATTTCTCAGAATCTCCTAATGCAATTACATAAATTACAGGATGGTGGTTCAGCATCCTAAAATGCTTCAGATCCTCACAGTTCCATTTCTCACTAAAGGACTGTCTTAGTCTTAGGAAGATACTTGAGGAAGCCAAGCAGAAATGCAGTAGTGATGCTAAGTGCCAAACTAGTGCTTGAAAACTGACCCCTAAGTCTCTGTGGTGCTACAGCAGGATCATCAGTTCTGTGGGCTTAGACAGTGATCCCCATGTATTAAATTTGAAGAGCAGAATCCTATGCATACAATGCAATTTTAAAGCTGCTCTATTGTTATCTGTGTTTGTTCTGAATTTTTCCACTACATTTGAAGTACATTTGACTGTATTTTCTGTGTTGTTAATGATAAGTATTCATCCTTGTGGCCTAGTGTAATTCAGTCTCCCTGAAGTTTTGGGTCTGGTACTTAAACACTTGGGGATTTTTTTTGTTTGTGGTGTTTGGTTTTTTACCTAGCAGACTGCTGTAGCTTTTTTGACTTGCAAATACTTGATGTTCTAGCCTCAAGTGGAGCTATTTCTAGTTCTGGAAGATCTGGGAAATCTGTGTCACATAAAATGAAAAATACTTGAGTGCCATCACTGAATTAGTTCTGTGCACTATTTGGTGGTTTTAAGAAAGTATAAGCCAAAGTCAAAGGACCATTTCTCAGTATGTTGGCATTTTAAAAGGATGCATTTGCAGAGAAAAAGGTTGTCTTCTATACAACTGTCTTTATGCAATATTCTTATGCAAACAGCACCTCACTGAAAGCATACAATGGCAAATCAGTCACATTTCATCTCAGCAGATACATTCAAAACCTCAGATTGTTTGCTTAGTAATTTGCATAATAGTTTGCTTTAAAAGGAATATTAAACACAGAATAATTGAAGAATTGCAGTTTGGTCACAAAGTGCATTCTGTTAAGCTGCACTTAGCTGCTTTATTTTTTGTTAAGATGTTAGTATTTGATTTTAATGCATGCAGACTTTCAAAAAAAGCAGCTGAATGCAGATAAATGTGTTTTACATGCATAACCAGTTGCCAGCTGTGTGGGATGGCAGCTGAACGACTTATTTGGGAGGACTGTGAAGGTATTTGTGTGTGGACACTATGTGAAATTTTTATTTTAATAAGTGAAAACCTCTTTTTGCAACTGTTGACTCACATACAAACCATGTTCATCTTAAATGGCTCCTTCAGCTCTGTGCCCTGTAACTATTACCTTTGCATTGGGAAAAGAAAAACGAACAAAAATAACATCTAATTAGGAGCTGGTTCTGAACTATGGATGTTTACTGACTGGCTTCTCTTCCCTTTTTGCTGTAGGAACTGGTTTTACAGTTGATGCCTTTCAGTATGGAGAAATTGAAGGCTGCACAGCTTATTTCCTTACTCATTTTCATTCTGATCACTACTGTGGGCTAACAAAAAACTTCAGGTTTCCAATCTACTGTAACAAGGTAAGGTTTTCCAAGATTGCTAGAGATTATCAAATCCATCTGCATCTGTGATCACTTTTGTATTGATGGAAGCAAGTGGACAATCAGAGGTTCTACTGCTGGGTCAGTTAGGCACAGTGGATATGTACAGAGGAATCTGCATTTTGCTTGGAAGAAATCCTTAGCCTGATGTGACTAATGAAGACTAGTGAAACTTCCCTGGCTAGATACATGAATAGAATCAGGTGTAAAAGGATCTCTGGAGGACATATAGACCAATCTCCTGTGCAGTGCAGGTCTAACTGCAAAGTCAGGTCAGACAGCAGGAAGCCTTCGTCAGTCAGATTTTGAAAGTAGGCAGATTTCAGTACATCTCTTCGCACCCTGTTGCTGTGCTTACCCACTCTGATGGGTTTTTTCCTAATACACACTTGAAATGTCCTTTTTTGTAACTTGTAGCATGTACTTTTTTATGTGCATCATGGAGAAGAATCTGGCTCCATCTTCTCTCTACCTTCTCTGTAACTTCTCTGTAACTCTGCACTATTCAATAATGTCAGTCTGAAATTAGATGCTGCTTATGCCATCTCTTCTCCACATTAAGTAAATGGAGTTGTTTTAGCCTGGTCCAGTGTGTCCTGTGCTTGAGGCTGCTGAATGGCCAGGACTGCCATGAGCTATTGTATGTCCAGCCAGCACTACTTTACTTGTAATATGGTAGGGCACCTTGCATAATCAACCCATCCAGAGCTTGCATCAAAAGAACTATGATTTACTCTGGAAGTTTCCTGGAATGCTTGTGTCCTATGTTACCCTTGCAGCAGGTGCTTGGGTGACTGCAGTCCTCTGTGATAAGATCCAGGGGCCTGTGACCTAGAAACTTGAGTTGTTTAAAGAAGGATTTAACCATCTCCTCTTCTTGACTTGGCAGTCTGTAGCAGATGTTATTCCCCACCTTGTTTGCTTCCTCTCAATTCCATTCCACACCTGTTGACAGGCTTTTAAAAGTTTGCTTTCTTAAGGTAGCTTTTTCCGGTTTGTTTTTTGAGAGGCGAAATGCTGCAGAAAGACTTGATTGTGCCCAGGACCTTATAGTTTCTTTCTAAGCCGGACTGTCTGGCTTTGAGAGCTTTTGTTTCTAAAATAAACAAACAAACGCTTCTTTTAGCTCTTATTCCTATCCCATTTTAAATCATTTCCCTGTTGCAGATAACTGCCAATCTGGTGAAGAGCAAACTTCGAGTCCAAGAGCAGTTTGTCCACGTGCTGCCAATGGACACAGAATGCATGGTGAATGGGATCAAAGTCTTATTGCTCGATGCCAATCAGTAGGTATCATTGCATTTGTTGGTGAAAATTTGTGTGTTTGAAATGTTAAAGATAAATAGCTCTACAGATACAGTTTATGTTTTCATGATTTTTAGGTTTCAGTGGGTCTGAAACAGTAGGGGTGAAAATGCTTCCCATTCCTTAGCTGGCTTAGTAAAATGCATTTTCACTTCAGAGGTGAATTTGTCATGAAAGAGCCTAAATTTCTTGCAAGTAGTTAGCTTTTGAAATAGGTGAGTTACCTTTGAAAATGAAACAGGCATTTTTGGTAATTTTAGTTTAACGTTATTTTGGTTTGGGTACATTGTGTGAACCACACATAGCTCCATAATTTTTAAGCTTGTTGAGAGATTAAATGATTTTGCTAGTTTGGACACTTTGTTTCTTTAGTGTCTAGTTGGGAACATTGTAAATTCGATTATCAGATATGTTGAGTTTCTGTAACTTCAGCTGATGATAGGGAAATCTTGAGTTAAAGATAAATGTGGTACTTTGAATCCCAGGAGAAGCAAAACCTAGTTAGTGTTTTGAAAATTAAACTTCAAAGAAAGGCCTGTTGAAATCTGAAACAAGACTTCTACTGGATTCAGTGACAAAGGGTGAAATTTTTCTCTGTTCCACTGGCACTATGAGGTGATGCTGCATTTTAAGTTCAATAGCATCTGACTTCCAGCCCTGTGCTCTTGCCATTCAGCTCTTGGTACTGTTTTTGGCCATGGGGTAAAGTCCCTTCCCTGCAGTATATATATATTGACATGCAGGACTGTGTCACAGCTGGTTTGAATATTACTTAATATAGGATTTGTGTATAACTGGAGAGATAAGATTCTGTGAAGTCCTCTGAGAAGCCTTTCTAGGAATGAAGGAAGCCTTGTTGCTTATGCCATTTGGACACTTCTCGTTTTTCCTGTTTGTCTCTCTGATCCTTTGCTTCAATTTAAAAGGCATATAAACCTTAAGTACAAAGTTCAGCTTCTTGGAGAGCTCACCAATTCTGTCATTTTAGCTCTGATTCTTGTCAGTTTTTCCTTCTTTTGAGCTTTCATTTACTCTTCGCAGATGATTCATGGCTAAAATAGCCCCACTCTGGTTTTCCAGAGCTCTTGCCCTTCAGGCAGCTTTGGCAAGCAACTGGAGAAGGTGCAGTGGATTAGTTATTGCCAGTAAGAGAATTGTATTTATATCCAGGGAATTCTGGATGAAGGATAACATTTAAAATCTGCAAATGGAATGTAAAAGAAAATGTTTTAGTAAGTCCTGCAGGAACAAAGATGAATCCTCAGTAATACAATTCTGTTTCTCCTGAATAAGAATGCTGTTTCCCCTTTGAATCAAGTAATGGAACCTCAGAGTTGTACCTGGAAGATGGGCCATCCCAAAAAGGCAGTTAATGCTTGATTGCTTTACTGTTGATTTGGGTTTTTTTCTTCTTTCCATCTCAGCTGAGAGCTCAAGTTTAGCTTGTCTGGACCATAGGCTTAGCTGCAGAATTCCTTTAGAAATCAGGAATCTGGCTAAATCAGGCTGCATAGTAGCCATGATTTAGAATGCTGTTCTGCACACCTTTCTGCTGCTGGAGGGTGATCGATCTCTTAAGGCAGTTTATTAGTACGGGAAGCTGACATAATTTGTATGGGGTTTTTGTCTGTTTCAGTTGTCCAGGGGCAACAATGATCCTTTTCTATCTCCCAAGTGGAACTGTCATTCTGCACACAGGAGACTTCAGGGCAGACCCTTCCATGGAGCGCTGTCCTGCTTTGCTTGGCCAACAAGTCCATACCCTTTACCTTGATACCACGTAAGTTGTCTTCAAAGTGAAATACTGGTTTTTCAATATAACCCTCTTTTCAGTTTAGTAAGACTTGTTATGAACCAAATAAATGTAATTATAAATGACATTCTCTGTTACACAAGAGAATAATAGTGGGTGATGGAAAAGATGCTGAAGTATTTGGTCAGATGACTCTATTATTTATAAGTGGTATTAAATTCTGGGTATCAAAACTCAAACCATGTTCAGCTCTAAAACAAGAGGTTCATAGAGCATTGGTATTCTGTGGATTCCTCTCAGTTATGCAAAGAGGTTTGGGGGAATTCAAAGGGTAAAAGAATGCCAAATGGTTGAATCAGTTGTCCAAGTTTTCATTAGACCTTTCTCTGACTCATGTATATAAAATTGTTTTTCTGTGTGTGATGACTAATGCCCAGCTGCAGGCTCTTATTTCTGTTCCATATGTTTCTCTGAATGAATAATATCTTGCGTTGTGGTTTGTGTGTATGACAGAAAATAGGCATAAGGATGTAATTAGTATGTGATACAAGTATCTAGCTTGAAAGAGCATTTGGTGTTGATAAAGAAGAAACTGTAGAATTTAGCGTCAGAAGGAATGGATGTAGAAAACACTGATGTATTCAGTGTAAATTTTGGTGCAAGAATTTCATCTGGACTCCTCAGTGTTTTGAATAGAAACACTCATTATGTTATATAGTTTTTTATATAGTTTATCTATGTGAAATTTTATAGGAAGACAGTGTCTTTTTCCCTTATTGTGTGCATGAAGTTTTGAGGGCCTTCCTGGCAATTTCAGATGTCTTTTTTCTTATGTAACAAAGTGGTGTATCTTGTTTCCACGCCCCAGGTACTGCAGTCCTGAATACACTTTTCCTTCACAACAAGAAGTCATCCAGTTTGCTGTCAATACTGCCTTTGAGACAGTGACTTTAAACCCTCGGACTCTAGTTGTTTGTGGCACTTATGCCATTGGAAAAGAAAAGGTCTTTTTAGGTATGTAAAAGTAGTGTATTGGATCAAATAACTAAATAAATATATAAGTTAGTGTTAAAAGATCATTTTCTTGAAGATATAAAAGGTTGCTTAGTCTGGATGTTCAGGTATTGTGTAAGGAAATGAAAGATATTTAGTAATCCTACTGCTAGTTTTTTTTTAGTGTTCTAATCAATAAGTTTTAACTTTCTGAAAGAAACAGTTTTCTGCTGTGTTTACAACCCCCCCAAATACACAGACAGTCAGTTTGGATAGTGAATGGATGAACATATTTAATTGATTGTGATGAGAGAATTGCTAAGGGCAATTACAAAACCAAGTAAATGTGGCCTTGATGACATTTTTGTTTTTAATTTCATGTTGTCAAGAAACAGCAAAGGGATATATTTACTCTTACACTTGTATTTATAGTTTCTCCTTTCAAGCTTAAATTACGTATTTCCCTAAATCCTAAAATCACAGAATGGTGTGTGTTGGACAGGACCTTAAGTATCATCTTGTTTCAGCCCCTCTACTGTGGGCAGGGACACCTTTCACTAGACCAGGCTGCCCAGAGCCCCACTAAAATCAATTTTAGCAAAGCATTCCCTGAACCAAAACATATCTTTTCCGACTTAATGAAAATCTTGTGTGCTATGCTTCACTCAGTTACAGCATTAGGAACCAACCTGATTGGCCAAACACATGCTCTAGAGCAGGCAGCTCTGTGCTATTTGTGCTTCTTTGTATATTTAAAGTCATCAAGACTTATTCTCACTGAAATTTAGTCTGTCTTTAACATGGGCTGTTTGTCACATATTCCAAAACCTGCATGTTTCTGGCACCTCTGGAATAAATAGCAGTTCACCTTGGGAGTGTTCTACCAAAGAAATCTGAGTTAGAATTTATCAAGGAACTTCTCCTTCTCTTGCCAATTCTCATACAAAATTCAGCTGCCAAAATGTAGAGGGCAAAGTTTTTAACAGCCATTACAGGTTTCTCTTCTTAATTATAGACTATGAAACACTATGTCTTGTTGAATATGGATGTTTTTCAATAGTAAAAATTATCTAGTTATAATAATCAGAAATATCTCTGAAACAAGCTAAAAAAACCTTCTTAAAATTTTCTTTATCTGATTTCTTCCCAACTAATCCTAAAGCAATTGCTGAAGTTCTGGGCTCAAAAGCAAGTGTGTCCCGTGATAAGTACAGAACCCTGCAGTGCTTGGAGTCAGCAGCTGTTAATTCCCTCATCAGTGTGGACTGGAATGGGACTTTGCTTCATGTTCTACCCATGATGCAAATTAATTTTAAGGTAAGTTCAGAAAATAGACTGTTGATTAACCTGCTGCTAGTCTTACTCTTGGCTCCTCCCAGCCAGTGCTGTTTGGTGCTTTTTAACCTCTTGTCGGATCGTATTTATTTAGTGGAGTTTTGACATGTAGCAATACATTGAGAATGAAATGCAATTAAACATTAATAACTGTCTCTAGACATGATGTGGTGCTGGTAGAAGATAAGATGAGGCTTGTTCAAAGACTTGCTCTTTGCAGGCCTTTTTGAAGTAGATTTATGTAATGACTGCAGGATCTGTCCTAATAGCCACTAATATATTGTGACATGGAGCCCCTGTTTTCGGACTGGCTTTTACCTGGTCCCGTGTAGGAAAAGACTAAAAGGATTTTCTGCCTGTGCGTCTCTGTTTTTAAGCAGCCTGTGAACATGGCCAACTTCCAGTTTGGTCTCTGATAAAAGAGGAATAGAGTTCTCTGTTCTTCTCAGTTCAATTTCCATTTATTTATAACAATATTTTCATGTTGTAAGAGAATATTCTCTCTCTGTGGTGATCAGTTCAGGAAGGATACTGAGATGCTGGAGCAGGTTCAGAGAAGAGCAATGAGGCTGGTGAAGGGACTGGAGCACAAGTGCCATGAGGAGAGGCTGAGGGAGCTGGGGGTGTTCAGCCTGGAGAAGAGGAGGCTCAGGGGAGAATTTATCACCCTCTACAACTCCCTGAAAGGAGGTTGGAGTCAGGTGGGGATTGGTCTCTTCTCCCAGGCAACCAGCAGGAGGACAAGAGGGCACAGACTCAAGCTCTGCCAGGGCAGGTTTAGGTTGGAAATCAGGAAGAGATCTTTTACAGAGAGGGTGATCAGGCATTGGAATGTGCTGCCCAGAGAGGTTGTAGGTTCCCCATTCCTGGAGGTTTTCAAGCTGAGACTGAATGTGGCACTTAGTGCCATGGTCTAGTAACCACAGTAGGGTTGGACTTGATGATCTTGGACGTCTCTTCCAACCTTGTTGATTCTATGATTTACTTGAAAATTGGTGAGAACTCAGATATAAACAAATGCACACATTGAGTGAACTGTGGGACACCTCATATATTGCATATTTAGTTTTCCCACCCACACAATCTTCTCTAATATTTGTAGCAAAATTAAGTAAAAGTTTATTTTAAAACATTATCTCATCTAAGTTTACTTAAAATGCACATTTTGGTTGAGATTTGATACTGTGAATTTTTGTTGTTCAGAGTTTTTCTTGGAATTTCTTAGGAAAGGTGACTGATTCCTGAGGGAAAAGAAGATTTTTCTAAACAGACTACAAAATACCAAATAGCATTAAGGGGAAGCAGCAGGCTCTAGATTAAAGGTAACCTGTAAGAAAGAGAAAAACAGGGGTTGTTTATGCCTTACAGACTTGGATTCATTTTCCTGTTTTGCTTCAGGCCTGCTGTGCCATCTCAAGCAAATCCTTCAGAGCAAGATGGTATTTAGCTGCAGGAGTAGTCAAGGTCAGAGTTGACCTAAAAAGGAGAAAAAGAGGATATATGGTTTGGATGGGAGCTGTGGGAGATGGAACTTAGTATCTTAGTGTTTTAACTTTGCTCTACAATGTTTTCCGTTGTGGGGCAGAAACTGAGTAATGGAAATGTGTGTGGTTTTATTTTTAATGTGTTGTGTTGTCGTGATCAGTAATGTCTTTTAGTTTCTTCTGCAGATTTCTGGGTTGTTATGTGATGCTGCTGTCACCTGTCCCAGCACGTGTGGCACACTCGTGTAGCTGGACTTCCAGGGTGGGATTATACCACAAGGATGTCAAGAATACTATAATTCTCACAGAGAGGCAGTTGTGTCATGCAGGGTCTCACCTCTGAGAACGGGAGGTTCTAGACAAACCTGCAGTGTGATGGAAGCAATGCCTGGATCCTGGAAAGGGCCAGGAAGGATTAGAGACACAGTGATGAGTCCTGGTCTAACAGCATGGCTCTCTGTGCTGGGGCTTTGGCTTGAGGTTTGAAGTTGCTGAGTGCTGTCATTAGCAATGTTGTGCCCATATAATCTGGGCATACTGGGAAGACATCCAGTGAGGCCAGCAGCCAGATGAGTGCCTGGGTGTGAAGTGTGATCAGTAAAATGTGGAGAATATTAAATGCTTAAAGATGAGTTCATATGACCATTTATCTTACTTTTGCCCGTGAACTCAGCAAAGACAGTATTTTAAAAATAAATGATCTGATCGCTTACAATCTTGTTCTAGTTAAAGAGTGATGAGTGATATCATCCTGTTTATACAGACCATGTCAATGTTGACGCCATCATCTCCAGTTGCATGTTTTTGTCTTTTGTTGGACTATACAGGTTTTTTCCTGATTTACTGTCTCATTGCTGGGAAAGCCAGAATGTTTTAGTGATCCTCATTGCTAAATGCCAATGCTTTCATTATCTCTGGGTCTCCTCTGCCTCTTCTGTCTTACTTGATCCTTAATCCAAAAACACAATCCTGCTTCTTAATTGGGCTAATTTGCTGCTTGTGTAGTTTCAGCTGTGAACTCATAGATCCCTGAAATAATGAATAAGCTTTTTGTGTTATTGTATTACTGTTGGATTGGTTAGGGGTTTTATGGTTCTTTTGTGCTTTTTCCCATGGATAGCTCTGGCTTTTTTGAAGAGTTTGGTTATTAGGAGATGTGTGAGCACTTTCCTCAGGTGCTACCACGGTCATATTCTTAATGAGCAACAGGTACATAAATGTTAAAGAAAAGAAAGAAATGCTGTCTACTTTTTCATCTATGTGAATTTAAAAGTAAAATATAAAAATAAACCATGAATTGCTGCAATATTGCAAAAAAATAAATCAGAGCTGTAGTACTTCACTGTGGTCTTTAGTTTTCCCCCAGTAAAATACAGGGATTGTTGTGTGTACTGACAAATAGGTGTTCCTGGATGAGCCAGATGAGTTTCAGTGGTGTTAGGGCTGATGGTAAATTAAATATTTAACCACATTTGAGTCTTTTCCTACCTTGTGGAAGCTGTGTGTGTATACTGCTGACTTTAGCGATGCTGGAGATAACAGGCTGTCATGGTGATTGAGGGAGGCTGATTTAGCAATGAAATATATTTTCCATTTTAAAGGGATGAAGGTTAGAACAGTGTTGGCTAAAGCAGTCAAAGAAGAAATTGGAATGTGTATTTAAAGTGGACTCGTTATAAATAAACACTGCAGTGAAGTGTTTTGGGGAAAAAGGCCATCCTCCTCAGATGCATGCCATGGGTTTTTTGCAACTAGTTTTTGTACCAATCAAAAATTGAGGCTTCTGCCACTTGTATATGCAGTGGAAGATTTCCAGAGAACTGAGGTCTCTGAGTCTCTGCACCTCTTTTATGTTGTTTAGCTCAGTAATGTCTTGTACTAGCACTGAGGTGAGACTTTCAGAAGTGCCTATGATTGAAATGCACAAAGAGCTTTTTATAAGGTTGAATCTTACACATCCTGAAAGAGTCACATCCTTAATGTGAATGTTGAACACTTGATTTATAACAAAATTTGAAAGCAGATTAGCGTTGGTTGATATAATAATCATTGGATTTGAAGTACTATATTTAAACTTCATTAAAGGGGAGCAAATATGTGAATAATTACCTTAAGATATGTTAATCTTCCCAAAATGAAGTGTGAAGGAGAACTGGACTGTTACAGTTACACCTTTAATCTAGTGAGGATTTAACATTTGCAGTGAATCAAGAGTCATGGCAGTGAGCCATAATTCCTGCTACTGCTGCTGAATGTGTGCTGTGGTAGGCTTATTGTTACTCTTCTATGTGCCACTTTGATGGATTCTGCATGTGGCTACTGGACATTGTGCTGAAGGTGCTGTTAGATGTGGCATTGTCACAGGCAGCTCCTCTCTGCCCTGTGTCTGTTCTGGCAGAGCCTGTCTGTCACCCTCTGCCCACCTTTTTTTAATCAGTCTTTAGTTGGTATTCCTCTCCTCGTGGTAGGCTTATTGTTACTCTTCTATGTGCCACTTTGATGGATTCTGCATGTGGCTACTGGACATTGTGCTGAAGGTGCTGTTAGATGTGGCATTGTCACAGGCAGCTCCTCTCTGCCCTGTGTCTGTTCTGGCAGAGCCTGTCTGTCACCCTCTGCCCACCTTTTTTTAATCAGTCTTTAGTTGGTATTCCTCTCCTCCTCCTAATATAAAGTTCATGGTTCTGAGTTCTGTAACCTTGTAGGACTTTCAAATTGATAATGTGCCTTTAAAATTTTATACAGGACATATGAAATTGATTTTCTGTTTTTAACTGGAAGTAATACTGACTCCAGGAATAGGATTTTACATTCCTTATGCTTGGGAACCTTTTCAAGTTAATTTAGGAATGAAAAGATGAGAGGTGGTTTCCTTCCTATCATGAATGGAGATGTGGTAAAACATGGGTTAGTGCTCAGAGCAATACTCAACTCATGCATTGGCTCACTGTGGGTTTTTTGGGTAACTTAATTAACTCTGGGTGCTTCTGGGCAGAAGCAGTGAGAGGATCTCAGTGGCACTTCAGATTAACCAAGTGATTTTGCACTGAAGCTTTCACTGTCTCCTGTCTCCACTCAGCTGCTAGAGTACTGACCCCCAGCTTAGAGGAGGAAATGAATGACTTGGGGAGCAAGATTCATAAGCAGATGTTGTTATGCCTTCTATGTTCTATCTATAATGCAGAGCTGTTCATATGTGCTTAATTCAGATGACGCAATTGAGATCCTAAAGGACAAGTTGTTTTGCATATGTAAATATTTGCCATTAATAATTTCAAGGCAGATGGTATTTTCAATTAAAAAGTTAATATCAAAATATGAAAATAAAACTTAGCCTGAAGTGTCTCCATCATGAAATTTCCAACCATTAGACAAACAAAGTATTTAGTGGGATTAAGTACATGCTATATTTTTTTTCGCAGGCCTTGCAAGATCACTTGAATAAGTTTTCTGAAAATTTTGATCAGATTCTGGCTTTCAAACCTACTGGGTGGACCTACTCTGATTCATGCCTTTCTCTGGTGGATATCAAACCTCGGACAAGAGGAAAGATCACCATATATGGTATGAGAGTGGCAAAGATTCAGTGCATTTAACTCTGTGTGGATGCTTTTCATATTTTTATTCTGGAAACTCCTACTGATTTTTGTAACTGCTGCTTTTTCTGGTAGCTCATTAAGAAACTGAACAGGTCTCTCCGGGAGAGATCTGTGACCTGAGTAATCAAGAACACTGTAAATGCAGATTTTTACATACATTTTGCACCTGTCCTCCTCATGCATAGAAAGGCTTTCATCTGATACAGGTGGAGACTTCAAGGGTGGAGCCTTGGCCTGAGTGATGCTGGTGGCAGTGCAATTCCAGAGCCAAGACTTCATTCCATGTCTTACTTGTTTCTGAGATACTGGATTTTCCTTTCAGTTCTTATCCATGGGTGGAGTTGAATCTCTTAACATTTATTTAACCATGTGCTTGGTGTAGCTCAGCTTGCACTGATGAATGACTTGGCAACTTAATGCAAGGAATTCTTCTAGAAGGAAAATTGGGACTTTTGTTTTACCTTGGCTATAAACTTTATATCCCAAATAGGAATTAAAAAAACCCCTTTATCTAAATAATTTATTAGCTGGAAGGTTTGCAAAAGTGCTTTGGCAAGAAGCTGAGTAGACTGACAGATCTGTGATGTGTTTCATTTCAGGGATTCCTTACAGTGAACACAGCAGCTACGTGGAAATGAAGCGTTTTGTTCAATGGTTGAAGCCACAGAAAATCATCCCCACTGTAAATGTTGGTGACTGGAGAGCCAGAAGCATGATGGAAAAGCATTTTAGAGACTGGATGATTGAGGGCAGTAGGCATAAATAAATAAAAGGCAGAATGTCTGTTTCAAAGGGGGTAGGCTGGAGTGGGAATTGTGAATTCTGTGAGTTTTATTTATCTCCTTTTTCCATGGAGCTTTCTTCAGGGAGGACTAAGCTGCCATTCTCCAAGAAAAGCTGAATTTGGGAAAAGAAAAAGAAAAAGGCACCTGGCTTTCTTGTGTATCTACTCCTCTTTTTTCTCCCATAACTTAAGTTTTTTGATGGTGCATATTTCAGGTTATTTTTATCTTATTCCTTTTTCCCTGTTCTTAATTTTCCTCAGATAATGGAGATGCACAGATAACTAATGCTGGGGATGAAACTGTCTCCAGGTTAATAATTTCTGAAAATAAGTTATTGTAATAAATGAAATTATATTAAGCTTATGTCACATGCTGTCAATCCAGGCTTCAGAGAAGCTCTTTTCATGAGGTAGAACCGTCTATTGTCATTTAAATCTTGTAAACAAAACTCACCTTGTGAGAAAGGATTGGCTGAGGCTCTTAACAGCATGTACTTCAGAAAATGGTTTTTATAAAAGACTTTGCTACCTGTATTCCTCTCAAGATGTTCTGCTTTTTAAAATCTTTTTTTAAAAATAAAGAATATATATGATACCTGTGTGTTCTCTCTGAGCAAAATGCATTTCTCTTCAGTGCTGCAGTTGCTAACTTGAGAAACTTGTCTGCAATATCTTTGAATGTGCTCTTGTGTGCTGCTTGTCTGAGGTTGCTCTTGTGTCCTGGTGGTCAGTGCCAGTTCTCAGCCCATGGACAAAGCATGAAGTGATTCCTTGCCATGCAGTCCCCTTTGGGTTTGCAGGGTTGTGTATATACAGTCTTGTCACTTTAATTCTGGAAAAACAAGAAAGGCAAGTGCTAGTACTGGCAGCAGGAAGGTAAATTTCACTTTGCATTTTTTTCCCCTGAATCCTACCAGATTATCAGTGCTGCTTTTTCTGTATCTGCGTGGTATTTATGATACTCAAGCATGTGGCTGCATGCAGGCACACTAGTGAAATTTTAAGCACTAGAATGAAAACTCTTCCAAACTTTCAGGATTTACAGAAGTTAAATCACGTGTTAAAGAATCAGCCCCCAACCCCTCAGAGTAGCTCCTCTGAAATCTTCAATGGCTTTGTGTTTTTTTTTTTGGTTGTGAAAACGCTTATTTTAGTGATGAATGTAAGTCTAATGAAATCCTTGTCTTCGAGTGATGAGCTCTGGAATGGGAAGTCACTGGTTTTGTTTCTGTCTTTTAGGAGAGAAATAACTGAGAAACTGATGGAAAAAAAAGATTCTTGTACTGATTCACAATTCTTTCAGTACTTTCATTGACATATGGCATTGTTAAATGCTTTGGTTTAAATTAAGGAGTTAAAGGAATCTGATGGTTTTATTGTATATCATGCATTATGCTAGTTAGCTGTTGCAGGAGCTGGTAACTCTCTTGGACTGGCGTGCTCATTCCTAGGAGTCCACTCCTTTCTGGAGGTATGTGAAAAACTCTTTTATGGCCCTTTCAAAAACCTGAATTAATGCCCTGTGTAAATCAGAACAAATGTGGGGATTCTGTTTGACAGGCAATTGCTTCTAGCAGTTGAATCGTTAAGGAATTATGCATGTTATTTTGCCTTTCAGGGTCTTTTTCCTGACTAATTTTGCACCAAGTATAAGGGGCTGGAATAAGCACCCTAAAGTCGAATCTTAGTCAAAACTTGGACCTCTTCTTGCTTCCAGAGCTGCATTTTCAAGAATGATTATTCCTACAGTGAATGAGTATAGAATCATAGAGTGGTTTGGGTTGGGAGGGACCTTAAAGATCACCTACTTCCAATACCTTGCCATAGGCAGCATTGCCTTCCACTAGACCAGGTTGCTCAGAGCTCTATCCAGCCTGGCCTGGAACGCTTCCAGGGATAACACAGGTATGTGTGTGGACTCTCACCAGGCTGATTTGCAGTTCCATTAGTTTGTGTCAGGGGTAACACATACCCCAAGCAATCTGGTTTCAGTGCAGCTGGTAGCTGCAAGGCACATGCTGCCTCTCTGTGCCTCTTTACCTCCTGCTGTCAGTTTCTACCCTGTTACCCAGAATGAAGGGTTGGGTCTTTTTTCGTTTAAAAGCAAACTTATTTCTGAAAGTAACCACAAAGCAGTGTATCTTGGAAGACACTGACATTGGCATGTGTTGGACTGACCTAGTTAATCCTGCCCTGATATGGAACAGATGGTGATGGGCTCACTTCAGTCAGCAAAGCAGAATGGCTTCAGTGCTGGGGTCTGTTTCCAGTTGCCTGCTCTGCTGTAGGTATTCCTGTGTCAGCCTGCTGGCTGTTTTCATTCCTCCCTCTCTCTGGTTTGTATTTGCACTTCCACCAGCTGTCTTTTCTGGGTAGATGAATTCTCCAGCATTTCATCCACCTTCATGTTAGGAGTTCTCCATGCTACCCACTTACTTGGCCTCCCTCATATGGAAAAAAGTCTTTTCAGAATCTAAACTCAGGAAAAAATTATTTTTGTTGTCTTTATTGTAAAGAAAGATTATTAATAACAGATCAGATTGCTTAGGGGAACATATAAGCAGATGTGGAAAACTAGATTTAACAGTTTTGTGGAGAGATATGTGACAGGACCTTTTCCCTTGTCTTAGTGGTTCTCTGGGACATCTTTCTGATCTCAGCAGGTGAAGTCCTTTGGGGTAAACCAAATTTCAGTGTTACTGTACAGGTCTCATTGATTAGGGCTTAGGACATGGCTCTACTTTTCCTAACAAAGGAGTGAATGTTTTTTCCAGTCTTTGGGCAGTACATTATGGATTCATGAGTGAGAGCATTTGTTACTTTGATTTAGTCTGGAGGTTCTGACTACAGCAAAGGTACCACCTTCTCACAGATGGGGACTTCTGATCTCTGTTGTGCTATAGAAAGACTAGACCAGAGTCCCCTGGACAGTGGGGTGGATGAGTCAGTTTGTATCCTTAACCTCACATCAAGTGACTTTCACATACTGACACAAATAATATTGGATTTTACTAAAGCAAGACAGGCCTGTGAACATCCCAGAGGCTCTTCCAGTTTGTCTACTGCTGACAGACTCAGGGCAGAAGGCAAAGCAAACCAAAGGGGCAGCTGTAACACTTGCTTGATCAGTGCCCAGAACGGTTTTCAAAGCCAACCACTCTAAAGAATCACTTTGTATTTCCCATCAGGACTTCTGCTCTGATTACATATCGCCCCAATAGGCAGAATAATGAGCTAAAAGAAACTCTGTTGGAAAAAGGTAGGGAGAGGGAGAGGGAATAGGAGAGCAGCTCAGTGCCTGTGCTGACTCAGGCTATGGGTTTTAGGCTGGCTGTGATAAATGGAAGCAGCTACCTGCACCCATGGTACTGAGGAGGCTGCTGGAAAGGCAAGTGTGAAGTACTGCAGAGTAAAAGCATATGGGCAGTTAAAGGGAACTTCAAGGTGCTGATATCTCTTTAGACCTTGATGTGAAATAAGACTTGACAGCAAGTGGAGAAAGGAATTAAGATGCCATTGGGATGGCTAAAGCATTTCTCTTACTTGGTCAAACCTGCTCATATGAGCTTAGTAAAGGCTATTAAATGGCAATTTGTCTTAAGATTGTTATTTAAGATAGTGTGACTTGAGATACATCCTTCATGCAATTAGGGAATGATTTTGACTGAGACTGTTTTGAATTTGAAGACTGCTTACAGGGATTATATGGGAGACTTGTTACCACATCAGGGTAAAGGTGCAGTTTGCAGTTACTGTCTTGATGTGGTTTTTGTGTCTGAATAATTTTTATTGAGTATTCTTTGGCAGGCAACAAAACTCAGGTGAGTTTTGAGAACAAGAGAATGCAGCCCAAATTTTCCTATCCTTCTTTAGCTATACTAAATCAGCTGCTTCTCATTTCAAAAACAAAACAAGTAAGAGCATCTCTTTTGGGGGTGGAGCACAGGCTGCTTTATGTGTTCAGGATTTATAGTGAAATGATGCAGTTTGAAATTTCATTCAATAGCCACAATTCCAAATCAACTGTGTTTGCAAAATATTCAGTACTGCTATTTGTAAAACACACAGTATCTAGGGGGGAAATATGACAGGAATGAATGAAATTCACAGGAATCATTGAAAGTTTGTCAGTACCAGTATTAAAAATTGGAGTTCTTGTACTTAAGTTTCACATGTTGGTTCTGATTATAAATGTACATATGGAGTGATGAATTTAATACTCTCTCCAACAGTGCAGAGAAAAGCTAGAAGGAGCCTACAGCCCTCTAACAGAAATGAAAGGACAAGACAGTCTGCCACTGTTTGCAGATAAGGAAAACAGCACAGGAGTGCTGGCTGCTGCTAGCCAGCTCTACTGCCTGTCTGTGGGCAGGATGTTCAGTGGAGGAGCTGCAGCCCCCAAAGGCAAAGCCCTGCACTGCCTGGAGGCCTCTCTTTCTCCTTTCTACTCTGGACCATTACCCACTGTTGTACAATGGCACCTTGTTATCAAATCTCCAGCAAATACTTTGGCATGGAAGAGGCTTTTCCACTCTGTCACATCTGCGCTGGTATCTCAGAGCAGATAGGGACTTGTGTTAGTCAGTTTCCAATAAGTCTTACATAAAACAAACCGTTTTTATAATCCCTAAGATTTCCCATTTGAATTAAACTTTATTCCCCTTTCCGTCTGTAGCCTGCCTTGGTTGTTAAGGGTGGAAAAGAGTTCTCCATTTTGGGGAAGAAGATACCAGCAGTGCACCCGAGGAAAAGGTGACACGAGGACACAAATGTGAACAAGGGTGACTTTGGAGCAAAGTTCAGCAAGATCAGGGCTGGCTGTGAGGTTCTACATGTGCTGCCTCCTGCTGCTTCCCACTCCTCCTGGCTGCCCACCACCTTCCTCCCTGCAGAGACAATGATTTCAGTGAACTCTGTGGTGAGAAGAAAAGTTGACTTTTTTTCTGACCACTCCAGTCGTTTGTCAGCTCCTAGCAGAGACCTCCCCAAATGCAGCTCTGCCAGCAGCAGGATTTGACCCACTTTTCAGCTCCTGTTTTAGAGAAGATGGATTGAGGCATTTATCTCAGCAGGACTTCCTCAAT